AATCCCAAGAAAAACTATACAAAAAATACTTTACAACTCTGAGGAATAACATTTATGCTTGGGAGTGAAGCAGGGAAAAAGAAAAAAATGACAACAACGCGAATAAACAAAAATGTGCTGCAGAAAAAAAAAACCATAAGAACAACAAATACCACCATCAACTTAAAGAATATTTCGCCATGATCTCAAAAGATTTTATGGCAAAGTTATGGAAACAGCCGAAATGAAAGAAAAACAAGTTACGGAAATGAATGAAAAGAATGCCAAACATAAAACCAGACGCATCAGCAGCTACCAAAAAGCCACAGCACCAAGCACAGGTCAACAAATGCAATGCACAGCCAACCAGCCAGCGAGAGGTTGGTTTTCATTTTGGTCTTGGCACATAAACATTCGTACATTTTACGGCATCATAGACCGGAAATGGTGTAATAAAGTGACAGTAAGAACATCCGTTTCAAAGTCATCTTGATCGGAGTGTAATTGTAAACAATTGCATCTCTCCTGAGACAGAGAGACTCGATTTTAATGTACGTACATGTGTAGGTTGTTGGTTGGTTAGTGTGTGGAATTGGATAAATATGTTCAAGGAGTAGGATGTCTTGATTTGGATGGAAATTTAAAATCAACTCACAGGTTGGGCTACTAGCGAGGGGAATATCACAATAATTTATTCCCAATTTATTCCCGCTGACGGTAATAGTCAATAAGACACCGAATGAGATGTCTACTCAAAAGAGATGAACCGTTGGTGGTGGGGTCGAGTATAAAAGGGATGACTCTGGCAGAATCGGGACACTAGGCCAGCGAAGAAGCAACATCGACCTCTGTAAGTGGTACAAGCCTCAATCGAATCCTTGGGTGTTCTAGAACATCCTTTCACATCCTGAAGATTTCCTAGAAGAATCCTGTGGAAGTCCTTCGACATCCTTTTGTAAATCCTGTATCCTATAATATCCAGCAATTTGCTTGAGTACTAAGTAAGGTTTCTCGCAACCATAGGCTTAAGCATCCCTGTAGCTTGTAGTAACATTAAGTGCGCATATTCGAAACAATCTGCACCTCTACATCCTAGACACCAAGAATGATAAAAAATGAGTACCATTTAGTATCGAACAATTATAGTACCCATCCATAACTCAATCCCAGATGCCAACAGAGAGCTCAATATCAAATTGAGGGATTCCAGCCTTATATCTTCTCCCAATACCCAATTTAGTACAACTCAGTATATTCGAACAATTACAGGGTGAGATAAAAAAACTGCAACTGCAAAGTCAACCGCAAAAATCTTTCTTTTTTTTAATTTTATTGAATGAAAGCAAAAAATGTCGGGAATAGCATCAAATTTTAGAATACGTTTAGATTTGCTCGATTTGGTCACCTTTGGCACGAGTTATGGCCTTCAAACGGCCAATGAAACTGTAACACGCTGCCCGAATGCTGATCTGCGGTATTTTGGCTCATTCTCAGCGAAGCGCTTGCTTGAGGTGATTGACACTTTGCTATTTTTTAGTGCCAACCTTACTTTCCAAAATGCTCCAGACACAACAGTCCAACGGATTAGTATCCAGAGATTTTAGTGGCCATTGTGCTCTGGAAATGAAGCAATGAACCCCATTTTGTAACCATTCTTGGGTGGCGCGTGCTGAGTGCGCTGGAGCTGAGTCCTGTTGAAATGTCTAAGGTCTGCGGCCAAAATTTTTGTGTGCCCAAGGCTTTAATACACTCTTCAGAATATTCTGATGCCACATTCGATTAATACGAGCGGAGAGCGACCATCGACTGTTATGACGGCCCACACCAACACCATGGCCGGCGCTTGAGTTTTGGTGGCCAGCTGAAGGTGCACATTTTCAGCTGACCCCTGTGGCAAGTAAACAGGATTATTTCGTTTGTTTATATACTGCTGGACAACGAATGTTTTCTCAAAATTCGGCAGTTTACCACTTTCGGCAGTTTACCACTATCGGCCTAGCGAAGCAACTCTTTAGCTCTTTTGTGTCTATTTTCTTTCTGTTGCGGTGTAAGTTCTTCAATTTTTTGGAATTTCAATGGATTTACCCTGAGCTCATTTTTCAATATTTGCTGAATGGAATACAGCGATATGTTCAGCTCACCAGTCATTTTTCGGCCATTACGACGAGGGTTTTGATCAAGTCGTTTCTTTACTTTTCGAACCATTTCTGCTGATGTTGCTGTTTTCTTCCGCCCAATTCCTTGACGTGGCTCTACGCTACCAGTATCAGGGTAACGAGCGATGGTGCTAGACACAAAAGATTTATTCACATTTAAATGCTGGAATACTCTAAAGATAGCGATAGCCACTTGTGGTTTTCTAGCCAAATATAAAGAAATCAAACTATCACGCTTGAATTCCATGAATAACTTTTTTTCTAGAAAATTCTCACCAAAGGGCTTTTGTACGCTTTTAAACAATATAATGAGCTGTCACTGGAATAATTTTAAGAGCGGTTTTTTCATTTCACCATGTATAGGAAACATTTTTAAACCACTGAAAAATCTCAAACTTCTCAAAATTTCAGTATTTCATCTCTTTAGATTCACACAGTACCAAATATAGTACTATTTAGTAATTTCCGTACAATTATGGTACACAATTCTGAAACCACACCCATATGTCGAGACTTAACATCAGCAATAGAGACCCTTATAAAAAAAAATTCTGATTTCAAGCACTATCTGTTCACCCAATACCAAATTGTACAAATATTGCACCGTTTAGTACTTTTCGTGGACTTGTAGTACATACTTCCCAACCACCTCATTATCACAAAAGTACCATCAACAGGGACTCCAATACAAAATTTTCAAATTCCCGTTACATCTGATCACCCAAATCTAACCTGAAATTTTGTACAATTCACACACTTAGTAGACATTTCCAAAATCACCTTCATATATCTAAACCTACTTTTCAACCTACAGTATCACATTAAATTTCAAGTTTTTAGCTCTATCCGTTCATATATCACCAAACGGTACCATTTTAGAAATAAGTGCAATTTTAGAACTTTTTGTAACGTTGAAGTTTGAATTTGCAAAAACTCTTTGGTATATCTGTTTTGAATTTTATCAGTGACACCCATTTTAAGTTTCAGAATACTACCTCATTCCATTTGTCCAACAAAAAATATTTAATTTTTAGTATATTTTAGTAATTTTCATACACTTTTAGTACGAATTTCCAAAACCTCAGCATTTTTATACGCCTACGGGCCAAGACTAATCGTTGTGCAAAATTCCAAGTTGCTAGCTTCAACCATTTCGTCTGGGCGTTGGTTCTCAGTCAGTTGGTTATGTCACCACTCTTTTATATTTTTTTGTAGGACACAATTTAAAGGGAGTTTTAACCTTCTGTGAAAGAAGGAAAACTAACCCCTTTGGTGACTTGGCGAGGGTTAATATTTTCTCAACAAAAATTATCCTCAGATTGTTACAAATAATATTTCCAAGGACGCTATATACCTGTAGTGGAATTCTCCAACTAATTTTTTTAATATGCCGACAAAAGTTCGTTAATTAACGAAATTTATCGGAAAGTTAACGACGAAACAAAGAAGTCGCTAAGACCTACCGATAGATGCCAATGATCTTAATATTAACTCATTATACCCTACACCACAAGGTGGTCAGGGTATTATGTCTTTGTGCATTTGTTTGTAACAGGCAAAAGGAAACGAGATAGACCCATAGTTCATTTGGATGATCTGCATAGAATCACATTCTGAGTCGATTTAAGCATGTCGGTCCGTCTGTACATCTGTACGTCCATATATTTTTGTAAACAAAGTACAGTTCGCATTTATTGCCCTATCCAGATGAAATTTTGCACAAATTATTTATTTGGCCCAAGGACGAACCCTATTGAAATTGGAGATAATCAGTCAAAATTTAGATATAGCTCCTATATATATCTTCGTCCGATTTGAATTTTATTGTGCACCAAACGTGTAATATCAGTCCGAATAGTATGAAATTTTGCAAGTACGATCAGATTGGACCTGAAAATACGTATGCCAAATTTTATCGAAATAGGTTCAGATATAGCTATAGCTCCCATATATATTGTTCAACCGATTTGTTATTTTTGTCCTCCGATGCCGTAATATGCACTCTGTAACAACAATATTTGTGGAAATATATCAAATACAGCTCAGAAATACATTTGCTAAATTTTATCGAGATCGATTCAGATTTGGATATAGCTCCCATATATAAATTCTTCCGATTTACCTTTGATTGTGCACCAAACGTCTAATATTTGCCCAAATTGGATGAAATTTGGCACTTACGACCGAATTGAGTCTAGAAGCTAGTATGTCAAATTTGGTGAAGATCGGTCCAGATATAGCTATAGCTCCCATATATACTGTGCATCCGATTTGTCAAATTTGTTACCCGCATTCGTAATATGCACTCTGTAACAACAATATTTGTGGAAATATATCAAATACAGCTCAGAAATACATTTGCTAAATTTTATCGAGATCGATTCAGATTTGGATATAGCTCCGATATATACATTTATCCGATTTCAAATTAATTGTGCACCAAATGGGCAATACAAGTCCGAATTTAAAATATACAAATGCTTCGGCATATTTAGTCCTTTGAACTTTAAATTATAATTATAATCATAAATCGTGTATGATCGAATTCTCCTATAAAAACTTTTAATTGTTATGCGCAGCTGTACTAAATTAGCAAAGTGGTGTAGGGTATCATAAAGTCGGCTCGCCCGACTTTTCAGACTTTCTTTACTGGTTTTTATATCAAAATTTTGGGTTTCAGAGTTAACGATTTTTGTCGGTAACTCACTACTGAACTTGAAGGTTAATCAAAAATTAAAAAAAAATCAAAGAGCTCTTCTCCTCTACTTAGGTTACTTGCGCGATGTAAGTTTTTCAAAACACCAATACAGGAGTCTTCTTTAATATTGCAAATATCGTGAAATTAGTATGCATCAATATTATTTTTTATATTTATTTTTATTAAAATACAATTACTTCGTCAAGAAACCTCTCCAACGAAGAAATGTATTTTTTCATTTGTGTCACTCTGGAAATCTCTTCGCATACCAAGGCCATTTTGTTTGTTCTGCAGTTGTTGTCATTCCAACGATAATTGTGACGGTCCAAATGGACGCAATTTTCATTTCCCCGGCCATTTGGTTCACTCGGTCTCCAGTTGGTATAATCGAATTCCTCACCATCATTAATCCATCTGAACACCAAGCCACCATTTGGGATATAGGTTCCCACAGCGCCAATCCAGTAGAACATTTTTCCTGAGTTATGTAACAAACCACATTTTATCTTAATTTAATTTGCGAAAAATTCAAAATATTACCTGTTTTCTTTAATACATCCACCAATGCATTTTGTTTCTCTTCACTTTGGATACTAACCAAACTCAATCCCCTTGTGGCGCATGCTGTCAAGGCTTCATACCAGTTATACTACACCAAAAAATTATGGAATTTTTCGAAAAAATGCTCAGAAAATATTATGAAATTTTTGTCCTTACATTATCTTCATCCACAACTAAATACCGGCTGCCATCCTCTGCATCATACCATTTCTCCTCACCGAAAACGCAACGAATTGACAAAATGAAGAGGAGAATATATTTCAAATGCAGCGGAGCTAACATTTTTTTCGTTCCCGTAAACTATGAACACTTCAACTTCATAAAAATATATTACTCTGAATATCTATGAAATAATTAGATCTTATATAGCCACATTTGAATAAGGACGTAATAAAAACAAATATTTTTTGAAATGTGCGGAATTGCAAAGTGGCCTAAGTATATTTTGTGCGATGGGCTTTTGTTACATTCAGGGTTTGGAAAATTCAAATTCGATTTCGACATGACGAATTTGTATATCATTTGCCAGAAAACGTATAACAGAAAATATTTAAATCAGTTTTCAAAATATTTAAATAAATGAAAGCCTTGTAGTACATGGCTGGACCGACCATATGATAACCTGCACAAATCCATCAATTCGGTGGGACCTACAATAAAATATGGACTTTTCACCATTTTTTAATATTTTTTCCTGATCCGAAAGAAATTTAGCAGAGGTCGTACTCACCACATTGAACAAAAAAAAAAAAAAATCGAAATTCCAGCGCTCATCCTAAACCAAATTTTGTACTACTAAGTACAGTTCGCACACTTAGTACACATTTCCACCGCCATGTATCACACTTACTTTCCAACCTTTGTTCTCACTTAACCTAAAATTTCAAAGTTTAGTACCATATTAGAACTTATCGTAATGTTAAAGTTCGACCTTCCAAAAACCCTTTGGTGAATCTATTCTGTACTCCATCAGTGACTAACATTCTAATTCTAACATTCATGACAAATTATTTCAATTTTAGTATATTTCATTAATACCCTATTCATATGGGCATTGATTCTCAGTTATTTCACTACTACAAAAATTTGTTTATTTTTCGGTACGAATTTCAGAATTTCAGCTCTATTCCTTGCCGAATACCAAATTTAGTAATATTTAGTTAGTATATGCAAAACTATCTACATGTCGCCATCCTTAACAACAACAGTGATCCACAATGAGTACCATTTAGTACTTTTCGAAAATTATAGTAGGCATGTGCAAAACCACCACCAGATACCAACAGAGGCTACAGTATCAAATTTCGGAATGCCTACTCTATTCTTATACCCAATACAAAAAGGTATCAAATTGAGTGCAATTTAGTACTTTTCGTACAACTTCCGTATATACAGGGTGAGATTTAAAAACTGCAACAAACATCAAACTGCTTTCATTTCTACGCCACTCGTCCGACAGCTGTTAAAATTATTCCAGTGACAGCTCATTATATTGTTTACAAAAGCATTTTGGTGAGAATTTTCCAGAAAACAGTTATTCGTGGTGGAATTCAAGCGTGATAGTGTGATTTCTTTATATTTGGCTGGAAAACCACAGGTGGCTATCGTTAGAGCACTCCAGCATTTAAATGTGAATAATTATTTTTTGTCTCGTTTCATCGCTCATTACAGTGATACTGGTAGCGTAGCCCGACTCAGGGAAGTGGACGGAAGAAAACAGCAACGTCAGCAGGAATGGTTCGAAAAGTAAAGAAGCAACATGATCGAAATCCGCGTCGCAGTGGCCGAAAAATGGCTCGTGAGTTGAACATATCGCAATATTTCATTTGGCAAATATTGAAAAATCAGCTCCAGCCATTGAAATTCCAAACAGTGCAAGAACTTACACCGCAACAGAAAGAAAACAGAATTTAAAGAGCTAAAGAGTTGCTTCGCTAGGCCGAAAGGGGCGAACTGCTGAATTTGGTTTTCTCCGACGAGAAAACATTCGTTTTCCTCCAGTTTGTAAACAAGCAAAATTATCGTGTTTACTTGCTGAAAATGTGCCCTTTGGTTGGCCACCACCGTTTAAAGGCCATGATGAGCAATTCGAACAAATCTAATCTAAAATTTGATGCTATATCCGAATTTTTTTGCTTTTATTCAATAAAATATGGCGTTTGACCCAATATCCTACACTGCCGCAGTATTTCCAAGTCAAAATTTTAGGACTCCATCGCTATTGGTTCACTCAAATACAAGTTGTACTTTATTTAGTACATTTTAGTTCCAAAACTACCTACATATCGCCATCCTTCTCTCAAACAGTAATCTTATTTTCAATTTTCAGGATACCAGCTCAAAGGGTTCCCCAAAATCCAACATATATTAAATACGGTACCATTTAGAATACTTAATTACACAGTTTCATAACTACCTACATCATACAGTCCAATAAAAAACTTATTTCCAAATTTCCGGATTCCAATACTATTGGTTCTCCTAAAATTTGAATTGTAACAAATTTGGTACCATTTAGTACACATAAGTATGAATTTGCAAAACTACCTACATACATGAGTCGAATAATGCAATTGCAATCTTAAATTTCAGAATTCCAGCTCTATCGGTTCACCCTAATCGAAATTGTACCAAATTCCAAATTTCAAGTTTTTAGCTCTAATCGCTCACGTGCTATAAAATGGTACGAAAAATATTACATTTTACCAATTTTTTTGAGCGTTTTATTTGTCAAAAGCGTAAACCCTATGTGGGGGAGGTACCAAAAGAAATGGTCCTATATCTACCATCTTAATAACATATCGTGTGTTCATGGTAATATTCAGATGCACCAATTCTGAATGGAAACCGATGGTTATTTTACATTTGATGAGTTTCATGGCTATTCAAAATGTTGAGCCTTAATTGGGGAGGTCCCACAAAGAGTGGACTGATATATTCCATCTTCACAGCATATCATGTGTTAGTAGAAATAATGGGATGTGTGAGGTTTACTTCGGATTTTATAAATGTTTAGATTATTTATAACTTTGACCCTTTGTGGGGGAGGTACCAAAAGAAATGGTCCGATCTCCACCGTCTTTATAACAGATCTTGTGTTAATAATGGAATGAATGGAATCGAATGTTAATGTTGCGTGTTGTCCAGAAGGAGTGGCCCGATGTATTCTATCTAAACACCAGAACTTGGGTTAATAAAAATATTGTGATGTGTGAAATTTGAAGACATTCGGACTCTTATAGAGTTATAATTATTCAAAATTTTGACCGTTTGTGTGAGATGTGCTTGATGGAGTCGTAAGATATTGTTCATTTTCGCACCTAACATAGCACTGATACAAATATTAAGAGTTGCAAAGTTGGAGCCAAATCGAATTATCGTTTCTCTTTTTGTGAAGAAAATATTTTGTTTAAAACTTTTAAGCTTTGATGGGGAAGGTACCTTGGGTTAATAAAAATATTAGGATGTTCGAAATTTGAAGTCTATTGGACTCTTACATCACATTTTATAAGAGTTATAATTATTCAATATTTTGACCCTTTGTTGGTGATGTACTTTATGGATTGGACCGATATTGCCCATCTCCGAACTTGATCTAAGTTTGATAAGAATATCACGATGTACCAATTTCGGACCAAATCGGATACTCCTTAAAAGAGTTATCGTGCGCACCAGTCTGCATACAGACAGACAGACGGACGGACGGGTATCGCTATGATGATGATATATACCCTCTGAAGCAATATGTTTGAGGGTATAAATATATAATTTATTTGTAGAAAAACCATGCTTTCATAAGAATTCGTTCTCATCAGTTTTCTGTTTTTCACCAGAGGATATTCTCCGAAGAAATTTACGATCGGTACTTAGGTATAAACAAAGTTTTTATTACAGGAGTTTTTTATTGATTTCTGAGGATAATTACCTTAATACTCCAACTATTATCAATCGGAAGGAATCATTTTGTGGTGCTATACTTTAATGTGTACCTATTTTAAAAATTGTAATGTGGTTTTGAGAATATTCTAATGATTTTGAGAATATCATCACGCTTTTCTTGAAATTATTCATTCTTCTTTAAATTTATGAATGAATTTGAATGAATTTTTATAGTTATTAGCGTTCTTTATTTACAGATTTCGTTAAATCTTGTCGAAAGTTCATTATATTCGATTTTCTCAGGAATTTTATTGAAAAAATAAAGTTAGGTTATGTTGTTTTATAATATGAAAAACAAACATCATAAACAAACGTAAGTAAATATTGAAATGGCTGCATATGGTTCTGTAATGGAAAATATTTTTGCGTGAATTACGTTTCAATTTTTTTATGAAATTAACATAATGCGGATGACAACCAATGATATGGGAAGATCACAAGATATAAGGGGATATTTTATTAATTCGGGAAAATTGATGCTATGTCTCGGATTATAGAATCAATATTTTCTCCTTATTTTCACTAAATTTTTCACAATTACCAATTTTATGACAAGCATTAACATACTTTTTTAAGATTTGAGAATGTGGATGCATACAAAACAGAGCTATCAAAGGGTTAAGAGTAAAATTGCCTTAGTTCACCTCATGATGTATAGACAAAGAGCAAACATTTGTTATTGAATAATACGGTACAGGTGTTTCTTCTTTATAAATAGTTACATATGTTGTGATGATGCAGTATATAAAACCATTATACATCATTTTCAATTTTTTAGTTTATAATTTCCATTGAATTGCTATTGAACGGAAAGAAAATGTTGCATTTTCTAAACTTAAAGTATTCTTTGGTGCTTCTATTTTTGGTTCATACAGTACTGGCCGAAGTGAAATGGTACACCGCTCCAGATGGCAATAGATATATGGTCGATGATGAAAATACGGTAAGAATAATGGTTTCAAATTCAGAGATTGATAAATTGGTTTTCGAAAAAAATAATCAGTTTTTGTGTGGAAATGAATTTCCTAAATCATGCCTACAGGGTGAGATAAAAAAAATGCAACAAAGTCAAACGCCATAATTTTATTGAATGAAAGCAAAAAATGACGGAAATACCTATTTTAGAATAGGTTTAGATTTGTTCGAATTTGTCACCTTTGGCACGAAGTATGGCTTTCAAACTGCCAATGAAACCATCACCACGCTGCCCGAATGTTGCTCTGCGGTATTTTGGCCCATTCCCGGCGAAGCGCTTGCTTGAGGTGATCGACACTTTGGTATTTTTTAGTGCCACCCTTGCTTTCCAAAATACTCCAGACACAATAGTCCAAGGGATTGGTATCCGGAGATTTTGGTGGCCATTGTACGCTGGAAATGAAGTGAAGAAACTCATATTGTGACCATTCTTGGGTGGTGCGTGCTGAGTGCGATGGTGCTGAGTCCTGTTGGAATGTCCAAGGTCTGCGGTCAAAATGTTTGTGTGTTCAAGGCTTTAATACACCCTCCAGAATATTTTCGCGATAATATTCGGCATTTATTCTGATCAATACGAGCGGAGAGCGACCATCGGCTGTTATGGCGGCTCACACCATCACCATGGCCGCCGCTTGAGTTCTGGTGGCCAACCGAAGGTGCACATTTTCAGCTGACCTCTTTGTCAAGTAAAGATGATCATTTTGTTTTTTTTTTTTTTACAAACTGCTGGAGAACGAATGTTATCTCATCGGAGAAAACCAAATTTGGTAGTTCGCCACTTTCGGCCAAGCGAATCAATTCTTTAGCTTTTTTTAAGTCTATTTTCTTTCTGTTGCGGTGTAAGTTCTTGCACTTTTTGGAATTTCAATGGTTTTACGCCGAGCTCATTTTTCAATATTTGCCGAATGGAATATTGCGATATGTTCAGCTCAGGAGGCATTTTTCGGCCACTGCAACGCGTGCTGCGATCAAGTCGCTCCTTTACTTTTCGAACCATTTCTGCTGATGTTGCTGTTTTCTAACGTCCACTTGCTTGACGTCGGGCTATGCTACCAGTATCACGCGGTAACGAGAGATGGTACGAGACACAAAAGATTTATTCACATTTAAATGATGGAGTGCTCTAACGATAGCCACTTGTGGATTTCCAGCCAAATATAAAGAAAGAGCACTATCACGCTTGAATTCTATCACGAATAACTTTTTTTCTGGAAAATTCTCACCAAAATGCTTTTGTAAGCTTGTAAACAATATAATGAGCTGTCACTCGAATAATTTCAACAGCTGTCGGACGAGTGGCTTAGAAATGTCAGTAGTCTGAAGTTGGTTGCACCCTGTATATAAATTTAGTGGATTCGGACTACCACCTCCATGGTCAAATAAGATCGACTTGATTTTAGATTTAGCATGAATTGACCGTTATAACCACTGAATTTATTAAATATATAACCATGCTTTTATATGTTTATATGTTTTTATACATTCCAAACAAACTCTCTTCCTTCTATACAGTACAATTGGTATGAGTCCCTAGCGGAATGCACCAAGAGAGGTCTAACTTTGGTCAGCATTAACAGCGATCAGAAAAACGATGCTTTACTAACTGGATTGAGACAATTAAGTGAGTACTTATGTGGAATTTTCTTTTTAAACATTCGAAACAGTATTATTTCACAGCATTCATTTAATATTCAAGATAAATATGAATTCTGGCTCGGTGGCGTAGCTACCAATTATCGGAATCGTGGTGTGGTTTTCCGTTGGATTTCAAGCGGCGAAGATTTCGACTACACCAACTGGGCCAACAATGAACCGAATGGCAATGGTGTTGAGGTATGCGTTCACACTTCGAATTCTAATTATCGTTGGAATGATCGAGATTGTTTGAATTCGAAATTCAATTTACTTTGCGAAGAAAATCCAAACGTCAAAGAACTAAAGAAATTCATTAGTCTGATGGAAGACTATATACATGGCATTTTGAATATATAAATTCATTTTCTTAGTTGTTTTAATTAAAACATATTATCTGTTTAAATGACAAAATTTAGTTTCTGCGTTTTTATGGATATGCATTTTTAAAGAATATTGTTTTCAAAATCAAGAAAATCTTAATTTCTCAAAAAATAATATAGGGTAAGTGCGCCTAAGTTCGGCATGTCCCAGTAGTCGGCAGTTTTGAAAATTAAACTTAGGTAACTAAGAATAGAATTGATCAAATAATGAAATAATTGCAAAAAAAACGTCAACAGTGTTCTCTGCTCTCTCTTTCTCTAAAAAAACAATGAGCTCCGATCATTTATTACGAGAGAATAACTGTTTTCGTCAGTGAGTGTATTCTAACGCGTGCGATAGTGCTTGTTTGTAAAGAAAAAAATAGTGGAGGCGTCAACTTAATAATCGATTTAAGTAAACTAAATTTAATACTTTTGGGATCAAAAATATTTAATAATAGTAAATAACAGTCTAAAGATCATTTTATAACACAAAAACATAGAAATCAATCATTTTACGGTTAATGCCGACATTAGAAACATAAAAAAAGAGATTTGGCAGTAGTCGGCAGGGGGTGCCGATTACTAGAAAAACTATAATTTTTGCCCAATTTCACCAAAACTCGAGAAAAGTATTAAAAATAATCCAAAAACTACTCAAATAAAAAATAGTTTTAAGTCGGCAGTTGCTTTTATTTGTGCTTTTTGACCAACTTTTCTAAATTAAGTGGGTTTTTTAAATCAGCTATTTGACGTTTTAAAGAGAGGTGGCATTTAAATAAAAAGTTGGCTATCTAAAGGACAAAATCACAAATTCCAAATATAAAAACGGCATTTTATTTTATTTAATCTCATTTTTAATTTAATTGAAAATCTAAACGTTACTGCGTAACCCTACTATTCTTGATTTTCCACCTATATTTGGTTTAGAATTATAATTAAATAAAACACTATTTAAAAACTAAATTAATTTCAAATTCTGACTAAACTATGAATTAGTAATATGGCATTGTTTTGTACTTTTTTAAATAAAAAAAAAATATGCAAAACAATATTTTTTTACGGAATACCATATGCCGACTACTGGCAAATAGATATGCCGAGCATTGGAAAATGGTGCCGACTACTGGCAAAAAACTACTACTTTAGTAAAATTGCAAATTTTGCCAATTTAATAAAAATAAATTCAATTGTTGTTAATTATTTCGAAAACTAAACAAAATTTGGAATCTGAACAACTTTATTTTTCTGCAATTGAAAGATATCACTCAGAATGTTGATAGATTGAAAAGTTGAAAATCCTAAAAGTGCCGACTACTGGTACACTTACCCTATTTTAAAATTATCAAAAATCTTCGATTATGAAAGAATTAGTTTTTTTAAAGAATATATTTTCGAAAGACGAGAATTTCCAAAGATCGGATATAATTGTAAATTTTTTGTGAATATTAAAAAAAATCAAAAATAATGTTTTTTTTTTGTATTTTGTACGGAACGGAGTGCCCAACCGACAAAAGTAAGACTTTCAAGCTAAATTTTCGAAAAATATCTAAAAACTACCAGTTCCTAGGGATGGCAACATCAGTGCAGCACCCATTGTAACAATAGTACCTACTACGAGAATATTCGATGATAATTAGAGAACAGCATTAACCAACCACCTCAGGCAGATAGTTTACTCTTCATCCTTTTGTTTTGTGCCGGAGCACTCCCTGTTTGAAAAATTATGTTATGGACAGGATTGCTTTAAAATGGAGCAAACGGGGTTTGATGTTGCTTTTCGCTGCAGAAGAGGGTGGAGGGAATGGGGGGGGGGGGGAAGATGGGAATGATCTTGTGCAGGAGCTTCGTCTCTTTGTTCCGCAGGATCTTCTGCTCGCTGTACTATATCATAACTCAAACACGTAGTATAATATCCTAGCCATACATATTATGGTGAATATTTCTACAGTTAACTGCAGTGCCCGTACGATTTTACCACTAGTCCCAATCTGTCGCAGAAGACCTGGATGTCAACATCCTCGTAAAATCTGATTTTCTGCCACTCGCAGTCCAGACGACCATTCATTAAAATTTCCGATAACCTTCAAATCATCAACATCCCGAAAGCTGTCATCAATTCGAATGCAAACTATATACAGTGTGAGATAAAAAATCTGTAACCAAATTCAGACTGCTGTCATATCTAAGCCACTCGTCCGACAGCTGTTAAAATTTTTCCAGTTACAGTTCATTCTATTGTTTACAAGCATACAAAAGCATATTGTGAGAATTTTCCAAAAAAAAAAGTTAATCGTGATGGAATTCAAGCGTGATGGTGTGATTTCGTTATATTTGGCTGGAAATCTACAAGGGGCTCTGGTTAGAGCACCCTAGGGAATAAATTTTTGTGTCTCGTACCATCGCTCGTTACCGAGATACTGGTATCGTAGCCCGACGTCAAGGAAGTGGACGTTAGAAAACAGCAACATCAGCAGAAATGGTTCGAAAAGTAAAGGAGCGACTTGATCGAAGCCCGCGTCGCAGTGGCCGAAAAATGGCTCGTGAGCTGAACATATTCCATTCGGCTAATATTGAAAAATGAGCTCGGGGTAGAGCCATTGACATGCCAAAAAGTGCAAGAACTTACACCCGCGACAGAAAAAAAATAGACTCAAAAAAGCTAAAGAGTTGCTTTGCTTGGCCGAAAGTGGTGAACTGCCGAATTTGGTTGTCTCCGATGAGAAAACATTCGTTGTCCAGCAGTTTGTAAAGAAACAAAATGATCGCGTTTACTTGCCAAAGAGGTCAGCTGAAAATGTGCACCTTCGGTTGGCCACCAAAACTCAAACTGCGCCGGCTATGGTGATGGTGTGGGCCACCATAACAGGTGATGGTCGCTCTTCGCTCATATTAATCGACCGTGGCATCAGAATAAATGCCGAATATTATCTCGGAAATCTTCTGGAGGGTGTATTAAAGCCTTGCGCACCCAAACATTTGAGCCGCAGACCTTAAAAATTCCAACGCTCCGCAAACCTTGGATATTCCCCAGAATAGTTACAAAATGAGGTTCCTCGCTTCATTTCCAGCGCACAATGACCACCAAAATATTTGGATACCAATCCGTTGGACTATTGTGTCTGGAGTATTTTGGAAAGCAAGGTTGACACTAAAAAATCAAGCAAGCGCTTCGCCGGGAATGGGCCAAAATACCGCAGGGCAACATTCGGGCAGCATGTGACGTTTTCATTGGACGTTAGAAGGCCATAATTCGTGCCAAAGGTGACCAATTCGAACAAATCTAAACTTATTTTAAAATTTGATGCTATTTCCGACATATTTTGCTTTCATAATAATAACATTTTTTTAAAAAAAAGTCAAAATTATGGCGATTGACTTTGTTGCCATATGATCTTTTTATCTGACCCTGTAAATACCTTTCAGCTACGCTAAACAAAAAAGAGCATTTATGATTAAAGGTTCTCTAGGAAAATTGGTACTTCAAAAATTATTGTGAAAAGTCCTAGAAAAGTTTAAACAAATATACAGGTACACAAAACAAAGACCGCAACAACCGACCAAATTTACGAATCCTAATTAATTGCACAGACAATCAGAATGTGTTTTGCATAAAACGCCGAATAAAAAAATATACAAACAATTGCCTTTGCATTATGCCAAAGGTCAGAAAAAAAGAACTCATTCCCCAATGCACAGTTGCAGGGATTACAAATGTTCGTTTGTTTCAAATAAAATCTGGATTTTTTTCATGGTTCCTGACAAAAGATGAAATCCACACCCACATTGAATGTTCGGATGTTCGTAGCAATTAAAAAATTCTGGTGAAGGGAATTACTTCAATAAATAATGTTTGTGTGTATTTCCCGTCACTGCCTCACTGGATTCCCATATGATCTTTCGGAGAAATGCGAACAAAAAAGCTGAAACATTCAACGCTAATGAATTCGTTAACTTTAAACAATGTTATTTAAACAAAATGTTGCCAACTAATTTGTGAAAAACAAAAGATTCAAATGAAACGATGTTTCCATTATGTGCCGAGACAAAACAAAGAATGAATATTTAATTATCAAACAGAATGCAATGCGAAATGACTAATTGTGAAACGAACAGATTTTCGGCAAAACAATTTATTATTTTATGAAAAACAAATTAATTATTTTGACACAAAAAAAATATTTTTTTAAGAAAATAATCCTTAATTGCGTATGTATTCATATGTTTTCATTTCAAGTCAAGGTCATGCCATTGTGCCGCACAATGTGTTCTAACAAGAAATGTATATAAATGTTATTAAACAAAAAAAGTTCAACTTCGAACATAAAGCGAAAAAAGCATGTAAAGCTAAAATCGGAAACAAATCTTCGCGGTTTAATGGAAATTTAACTTTTTTTAACACAAATGTTATAGTTTTTTTCACCCACTAAATATTACCCGATGACCATCAAAATCAGAAGGCTTCTGCCCAGCCCTAAGCTCTAGCCCCATGCTAACTTTCGCTTTGAATGATCTATAAGTGCGACCTGTAGAGCAACTGCAAAATCAGATTTTTTTTCAGTTTTTGGTTCATTTCGACCCCTAAATATTATGCGATCGTCTCCAAAAGAAATAGGGTTCTATTCTGACCTTAACCCCACCTATATTCTAAATTTCGTGAAGATCGGGCCATAATTGCGACCTGTAGAGTGATTACAAATTAACATGGACAGACGGACAGACGGATGGACGGACGGACGGACGGGCGGACATACATAGCTAGATCGACTCAGCTCGGCAAGATAGGAAGATCCATATATACTTTCCTAGTGGGAAACAAATATTTCGAGGTGTTACATAATTTTTGGCCCAATCAAACTTATAATAATGTTGTAGGGTATAAATACGGCTAAATCATTAAAATACCGAATATCGGGGGGTACCGTTATATGGGGGCTATATATCGTGGCCCTATGTAAACAATTCTCTTTCAAGTGGTGAAATACTTATAAGGGACTCTTTGTGTGGAATTTTAGACAATTCATGCCAATACCATGAACCAATACACGCCAC